TTGGTGAAGAAGATTGGCCCTGAGCTAATATCCATTGCCAATCTTCCTCTTTTTGCTTGAGGAAGACTGTCGCTGAGCTAACATCTGTGCCAATCCTCCTCTATTTTGTATGTAGGACACCAGCACAGCATGGCTTGATGAGCAGTGCATCAGTCCATGCCCAGGATCCAAACCCCAGGCCACTGAAGTGGAGCACATGAACTTAACCACTACGCCACTGGGCCAGCCCTCAAGAAAGTCATTTTTTTCTCCCCATACCTCACTGAGGTATTTGTCCAGATCAGGAGCAAAAAAGTCTAGCTGGAAAATAGCTGTGATCAACTGCAGTGTGTATGTGCACGTGGCGTCACAGCCCTCCTGCAGCTGCTCATCACTCGTTTTAGGCAGGGATGTGTGCGCTCCTGGTGGACACGGGCAGCCACCAGGTGTCGGCACAGGTGAGGACCAGCCTCTTCTTCTGTCTCACCTTTGGCTTCCTGGGATTTGACAGACACTTCACTTCTTTGCCCTTTTTTCACCTATTTATTACCCTTTTCTAACCACCCATTGCCATCACTTTTTTAAAAAATACAATTGTGGTAAAATACGCATAATGTAAGATTTACCCCCTTAACCACTTTTAAGTGTACAGTTTAGTGGCATTCCATACATTCACGTTGTTGTGCAACCATCATCACCGTACATCTTCAGAACTCTTTTCATCCCACTCAGGTGAAACTCTGGACCCATTAAAAACTAACACTCCATTCCCTCTAAGCCAGCAACCGCCTTTCTACTTTCTGTCTCAATCATTTTGACTACTCTAAGCGCTTCATGTAAGTGGCATCGTATGGTGTTTGTCTTTTTGTGCCTGGCTATTTCACTCAGCATAAAGTCCTCAAGGTTCATCCACATTGTAGCAGGTGACAGAATTTCCTTTCTTTTTAAGGCTCAGTAATATTCCATTGTATGAATAAACCACATTCTGTTCATCCATTCATCCGCCAATGGACGCTTGGGTTGCCTCCACCTTTTGGCTGTTGTGAATGATGCTGCTGTGTACATGGATGTACCAATATCATCCCATCACTGTTTTTAAATCTATCAAGTATTAGAATGACAAATAGCCCCTGAGTAAAACAATATATAGCAGTCAAGTTTATTCCCAGTTAACCCTGTTTGTGCTTCAAGACTCAGCTCGGACGTCACCTCCGCCAGACTTGCTGACCCTGAGATGGAGTAAGGTGCCTCCCTCTGCGCCCCCAGCCTTCTGCTCACATCTGCCTGGGCTGTAAGCCTCATACGCCGATCGTCTGGCCGGTTGTCTGTCTCCCATGGTGGTGTGCTATATTGGCATCTGAATGTCCAGAACCCTGTGCAGAGCTGGGAAGTAGGAATGGGAGAAGGAGGGAGGGAGGGATGTGAGGCTGGGATGTACCATGAGCTGCCCTGTGTGTGACTTTTAGTCGTGGGGTGCATCCATGCTCCATTCTCACCTCCATCACGTCATTCATGAGAACCAAAAGTCCCACATGGTGGTGTTAGGAGGGTGCTTTGGCCTCAGATGGAGTTTGTTTTGAATCCCAGCAGGTCCCGGGAAGTGGGAGTTTGTCAGTGCATCTGACAATGACCATAGCACTTGGAGGAGGGGAGCAGGGGCCGCCCCTCTACACAGCTCCAGGAGGCAGAGAATCCCCCTCTTAGGGAGCAGGGCAGACCATAGCTAGTTTCCACACATGTCTACACATGCTCAAGGCTATGACACTGGACGACAGTGAGGAGGGAAATTATAAGGGGTCAAGGACTCTTCTGGAAACAGGAGGAGGGATGCATGGGCTGTTTTCCATTCTGTCATACTTTTGCAAAGCACCTAAAAGGTGCACGAGAGACACCAGAGGCAAAGGGAAAGACAACCTGGAAGGTCGTCAGTCCCTCATAGCTCTACACTGATCCCCACGGATCTGACATTGGCAGTCAGTGATGGGGCAGGAGGCCGTGGAGACGTCCAAGGAAGGACTTCTGAACCTCTCCCATCATTTCCCCTGGCTCCCTGGTGCCTGGATGTGACCTTTGTGTGGACCAGAGTCGATGCCCACATTCCCTAGAACACATGCTCTGCTCGTGTGCCCAGGAATGTAGATTCTGGCCCCCAAAGGCCAATGGCATGCACTCCCAGGGCAGGTGACATTCCCATGAGCATGACATAGAGGTCCCACTTCCAAGGCCCGGCCCTGGGAAGCACAGCAAGGACAAAAGATAGGAGCGGGATTCAAACCTAGTGTCCCTGTTGGGGTCAGCACAACAGCACTGAACAGTCTTGAACTAGAGCCTGACGTTTGTGTTCACAAAGTCAACTGCGAAAGCTTGGGACAAAGGAGATCTGACTGAGAGTTCCTGAGAGAAAAGGAAAAGCAATAGGAGCTAACAGAGGCTGGTTGCTTTAAAAATAGCAATAGCACAGAGTTGGGCAACACTAATGAAAACGGAGTCTTCATTTAAAGAAAGTGATGGCATTCTCTCCTGCTGCTTTCATCCCGCCTCCAGGCCGTTTTGTCCACACGAAGCAATCCAGCGTAAGAACAGTGGTGACAGAGTAGAGAATTAGAGTGGATTGAGACTCTGCCACATGCAAATTATTTTGATCAAAAGAAGAGAAAACTTGAAAGGAGAACAAAAGAGCTGTCTTCAGTATTTAACTGAGAAGGCAGTCATGTTACTCCAAAGACCAGAAAGAGGAGAAAGGGGTAGAATTTGGTTCGGTTCTTGTAGTGTTGTTTAAACAGCTGCCAGGTGCTGAAATGGCAGCAAGACTCGCTCTCTGCCCCCTGGGAGTTCGCCATTTCCTACCAAGGAGAGAAAGAATAATAGCAACGATGGCTGAAAGTTACATGGGCTTGTGTGTGCCAAGCACTGCTCTAAGCAATTCTCAGGCAGTATGTCACTTGTCCTCACACCGCAAGGCAGGCACTGTGGCTTCCATCCCCTCAGCACAAGCAAGGGGTCGATAAGAGTTAGTCCCTGGGGATGCGGAGGACAGAGTGAGGAGGGGACTGGAAATTAGTTCAAGAAGAGGTAGCCTGAGCTTGCCCTAAGGGACGAGGAGAAACTATGTGGGGGCAGAGGGACGGGCTGGGTAGCTGCGTCTTCTCCACATTTAGTTCAGCCATCTCCACCGGCCCCAGCTGGTTATCTCCCGCCTGGACTGGTGCAGTAGCCTCCTCCCTGGTCTCCATGCCGCCACCCTTACCCACTGTAGACGGTAGCCACAGAGCCAGGATGGCCCTCTCAAACCCAGGAGGAGTATGGCCTCCTCTCTCCAAAACCTCCAGAACTGTATCTCCCTCAAACAAGAGCCACAGCGGCCAGCCAGGCCCTGCATAACCTCACCTGGCTACCTCTCATGGCCCTTCCTCTCCCCCAGCCACTCTGTACTCCTTGCTGCTGCTCGGCCCTGCCAGCACGCTCCTCCACCAGGGCCTGTGCACCTGCCGTGCCATCTGCCTGGAACTCTTCCCCCAGACAGTCACGGCGTCCTTCCAGGCTCTGCTCAGATCAGCTCATAGTGAGACCATCCCTGTCACCATGTGTAACGTAGTGCTCACCCCTGCCTCCTCTCTCGTCTGCCCTACACTGCTTTACTTTTCTCTAAAGCACTTATTGCTAAGTGTCATATTCTCTATGCATATATACATGTATATGTGTGTGTGTTTAGTATGTTATCTATACTCTTTTATGTTATTTCTGTTGTTTATTGTTCATTAGTTTACTGTCTGTCCCCATTAGAATGGTGAGATTCAGAGGGCGGGGCTTTGTTTCATTCACTGCCTCGTCACCAGAACCTAGAAGAGCGCCTGGCACGTGGGAGCCCTCAGTGCATGTGCCATGCATGGGGGATGGATGAGCAAGTGAGCTGGACCTGGAGGAGAGGAGTCCCTCAAAGGACTTGGCGGGTGGAAAGATGCCTCAGATGTGTCTAAGCAGTGGGAAGGCCTGATTGGATTTGGTTTCAGGTGGAACTTAGGACTCCTCTGACTAATGTCAGAACCGAGTGGTTATCAGAGCTGGCCATCTGTAGACTGAGCTGCTTTGTCAGTGGGGAGCTCCTGGGAGCTAGGAGTATTGAGGCTTCTCCAGGGACCAAGGCAAGAGAGAGTCCTTTAGTGTCTCTAAAAGGACATTCAGAGCTCCATTTGTGTCCTGAGAAATCATGATTCCCAACCTGCCCAGCCTCTTTCCAACAGCCTGAAGCCAGCAGAGACCCTGATAGATTTGGGATCATTGAACTACTAGTAGATGGGCGAAGTTTTAGTTGAGTACTTTCAAACTGACGGCCTCAACAGCTTAGCCTTCCCACGGCCCACAAGTTGCCTCCTCAAGAGTGACGGTGACCACGCAGGAGGGCCTCCACTGTTTGGAAAGCAGGGAGTACCTGGTCCTGGTGTCTTCAAGCTGGGACTGAGGCGTCCTTTGTGGAGGGCTGTACCTGTCAGCTTTTGCTGCAGTGACAAACCCAGCATCTCAGAGGCATACGACAGTGTCATGTCAGGCATTCAACAGAGCTCAGCTGTCAGAATGTCTGCTGTACTGGGAGCCGCTGTTCTCACAGCAGGGAGCAGGAAGCAGAAAGAGCCACAGCCAAGCCACATAGTCAGACTCCAAGCTTCTGCTAGGACATGGCCAGTTTCGTGTCCACTCACACTCCTTTGAAGAAAGTGTGTCACGAGACAACAGGTAGGATATGTAATGCCACTACAAAGAGGGTGACCAGTTGGGGACGATAACTCATCTGCTGTAGGAGATTGTGTACAGAAAGGTTTCTGTACTGAGTAGGCCATTGAACCACTCAACTCAGATGGCTCCCTCTGCGTCGATACTCTGGAAGTCAACTGCAAAGCTCTCTGAGTCTGTCTCCCTCCCTCCCACCACAGGCTCAAGATTCCATGATCTGTCTGGAAGACCCTTCGGGGAAGCTGGCCTCTCCACCCAATTATTCTCTCACTGTCTTTCCTCCTTCTGAGTAGGTGGGTGGCAGGCCCATGGAGCCCCTGCTCAGCAACCTGTGAGAAGGGCATCCAGCATCGGGAAGTGACCTGCGTGTATCAGCTGCAGAATGGCACACACGTCGCCACTCGCCCCCTCTACTGCCCAGGCCCGCGGCCAGCACCAGTGCAGAGCTGTGAAGGCCAGGACTGTTTGTCCATCTGGGAGGCATCCGAGTGGTCACAGGTGGGTGCCTAGGCTGCTGCCAGTGCTGAAACCACCACCAGGCCTCAGGATCTTGTCCGCAGGGACCCCAAAATGGTACCTTTCCCTCCATGGTGTTTGTCTTACATCCGATGTATCAGTTCTTGCCAGCCCCTGCAGCAGCTCAAAGCTGTGTTCTAGCTAACATATTGTTAAATTCCATCCGAGATAACAACATGGCTAAAAGAGCATGGATAATGTGTTTTTGACAATATACACCACAGTACCGTTTGATCCCATTTCCTATGAAAATTCCCATGTACAGTCATGTGCCACATAATGACATTTCAGTCAACAGCGAGCTGTGTATACGACAGTGGTCCCATGAGATTAGTACCACTTAGCCCAGGTGTGTAGTAGGCTGCACCATCTAGGTTTGTGTAAGTACACTCTGTGATGTTCACACAACGACACAATCGCCCAATGATGCATTTCTCAGAACACGTCCCCGTCATTGAGCAACACATAACTATAAATATAGATGGATGGATGGATGGATAGGTAGATAGATAGGAGGGAGGGGGGTAGATAGATAGATAGATATACCTTTTCATTTCTTTGGGGCTTGTTGGAACTGCAGTGTGGTGAGATTGGCAGGGTGGTTTCAGAGGCTTCCGTTTAACTCCCCAGCAGTCTTTGTAGATTGCAAGAGGCAAGCGGATGTTGGGAGGGACAACTTTGAGTGTGTGAGTCGGAGTTACAAATCTCGTGCCATAAAACATTTTGGAAAGAAGTCAATCGAGCCTTCAGTTTTAACTTTGAAGACTGATCCAGAAAGATCGTTTTATCTTTGCTAGTATCATCCTTCAAGGCTTTGCACTGAGTTTGCATTAATGATTTTGGTTGTTTGGCTCTAAAACAAAAACATAGCTAAATAAAGGGCCAGCTTCTCTCAGGTCCTCCGTCAGGCGTGGTCTAGGGAAGTCGGAAAGGCTAAACCCGAGACACTCTTCAGTGTGGAAAATATTTTTAAAGTTCCCTTTTATTGCCAAACAGTTGGAATTATTTTGAATAAGAAAGTATTCAGCCCATTTTTAATGAACGAAAAGTCTGCCCTTGGCTGCTCTAAATTGCGTTTACTTTTCAGACAGGTCTTGACATGTACTCGTTTAAAGACCTGAGTCTTTAACCTACCCTTTATGATAGTTCAGGAAAAGCAGAGAGTTTACAATTTTGTTTGATTTTTTTTTTTCTTTATACGTCCTTAAGTTTGTAAGTTCAAGTTCAAGGGACCCTTTTTGGGGAGGAGAATACTTGGTGGAGGGGTAGGACCAGTATCTGGTCTCTTCCCTCCCCACCCCCATGAGCCTTAGGGCCATCATCAACTGGCTCTTGATCTAAACAAGATTTATGCTTTAATCAGATTGAAACCATAAATTTTCCATTCAGACCCTTTCTTATGGAAAAAAAAAAAATGCCTCCTTACCAAACTAACAAAGGCTGACATTATCAGCTATTATCATGGAATTAAAGAACACCATATTGGAAAATGTGAGACAAATGGAGCAAGATTTAAAGAAATATCTCTCTCTATGTCTATATCTATGTCCTTGCCTGATCCTAATCCTGAAATAGTATCCACACCGATCAGTCTAATTCTGGCTCAGCCCAGGCTCTAGCAAAATGCTTCTTTCAAAACATTTCGAATCAAACCTTTCCTCCATGAGATACTCTTAAAGCTGGCTTCACCACGTGCTGAAGCCCCTCTAACATTTCTTCTTCTGGAAAGAAGGGGTTTAAATTTCTCATGGGAGAGTTTTTATTGACGGGGTTGCCTTTATTCAGCCAGCAGTGTTGATGGCTCTGCCCAGCTGCTCCCCAGCTTCTTCCCAGCTTTGTTAGAATGAGGAACAAATATCGAGAAGGATGCCTCTCTCCTGTTCTTCGCTTCCAGTCAGCACTCCTGGATTAGAAGCTGAGAGAGAAACTGAACATTGCCCTCCTAGCTCCCTTCCAAGGCAGCCCCAGCCTGCAGCACTGCCCTTTGCCAAGGCCAAAGGCTTCCGGCCAATGGGCTGCTGGTTGAAAGAGACTGAGCTAGAGTTTGGTCAAGAAACAGGCTGGACACTGAGCGAAAGTCAAGGGGAAGGAGCAAGGAATACAGGGTAGAGTAAGACCAAGCAGGAACTCAGGCAGAAGTGGCAACTAGGCTCCTAGTTGCAGAAGAAGCCAGTGGTGTGGGTTCTGGTGCCAGGAGGAGCCCACAAGGCAAATGGTGAGGATGGAGTTGATGAAATGGTCAGAAAGCATTGCCACGCAGACAAGCAGAGGGATGGCCCCGCAACACAGTACCCCAGGGCTCCCTGCAGCAGCCCTCCTGGGCCCACCCATCCTACACAGGAGGCCCTGTGCATCCAGCCTGCCATGGCTGACCCCTTGCATCTGAGGTCCCTATAAACCCCACACACAAGACCAAATATGTGTGCTCTCCCAACCCCGCCAGGTGATACTACAACTGGTCCGGAAGCATGTGTATTTCTTTTAGGACAAAGCAGTCTCAGTTAGCCTCACAAAAAAAAAAACAAAAAACCACTGGGACGTTCAGAGGGAGAGCTAAATTGAATTAATAGGAGAAATGAAGCTAGATAACATTTTAGGTTAAATGTTAATAACAAATATAAAGAATACATTTGTGCTTTATGTATGTTCTTTTAGTGGATACAGTGGAACTTTTTAAAAGTTGAATCTGCTGTAGCTCGGGAAAATCACTGCTGTGGCCTCCCATACTTTTGATAAATCTAGCAAATATGAAAACGGAAGTTGGAGCTGTTGGGGCTCCATTTTGTGCTCCTACGGCTCGTGAGCACCCCCTACCATAACTCTGGGACCAGCCGTGGGGAGGATTCTCCCTCGGAATCTCCTGGGCAGCCTGGGTCTCGTTGTATCTGTACAGCTTGGCAGGATCCAGCCGTCAGCCCACCGTCTCCGCAGAGTTACCTGTTTGCATCCACAGTGGGGACAGGGCTTCCGCTGGCTCCCCAGTTCACAGGCCATGTCACCTCTGCTTGCTGGCCAATTCGTGCACATTGTGTGTCATGTCCTCCCAGGGTCACAGGTCCCTCTGCCTGGGCTTTCTTCTGCTTTGTGTTTTGAGGTGGGTAAGCACTGAAGGGAGCAGGCCAGGAGCAGGCTCCAGACACCAACCACAGGGCCGCCATGTTTGTGCCCTGTCACCACTCTGTCTCTCGTCTCTCCCTCCAGTGGATCTTGCTGCCTGAGGGCATGGGAATCTTGAACTCTTGAGGCTCACACGTCATTTGTCACTCCTCAGGCCCTACTCAGGCCCCCTCCCCACATTGTCTCTTGCCTCCATGTCTCCCAGGAAGTGAAATACCACAGGGAACATTGCTGTGTTATCATTCTTAGCATCCACATTAAAACCATCATTGAAGCTCTCCACAAGGGCTGGCCAGCTGCCTGATGTGAAAGTCACCTGTGGCTTTCCTTTCTGTCTCCTCCTTTTCCACCCCAAACTAGTGCCTCTGTCCTGGGATGGCCGAAGGAGAGCAGAGGACCTGGAGGCTGGCTGGGAGGAGCCAGGGCCTCAGACCTCTTGGCTTCAGTTTCCTCACCTGGCTCCACCTGGCCCCTGCTCCACTGGAGGGTCCACCAGCATTTGCCCTGTGAACTTGCCCACTGTGCTGTATTTTGGACCTAGCAACAGGCCACTAAATTTCTCTCTCCTGGTTTGACCTACTGGGTAGCCCGAGTTCTCCCTACTCCTGACGCCTATGACTATCCCCCGATCACTGGCTACTTGGCTGGAGTCCTAGCTGGGACTGTGTGCATAAGATTCTAGAAGACCAGGAGCTTTTTGAGGGTAGAAACACAGCATCCTCATCCTTGGCACATAGTAGGGACTTGATAGGTGTTGGTGGACTTGAACTGAATTGGACTGGATTAAATCTCTGAACGGTGTCTCACAGTGTTCTGCCAACTGTGGTAAAGGGACGCAGAAACGGACAGTGACATGCACCAACTCACAAGGAAAATGCGATGCATCCACGAGGCCGAAAGCTGAGGAGGTGTGCGAAGACTACTCAGGCTGCTATGAGTGGAAAACTGGGGATTGGTCCAAGGTGAGTCCAGCACGCCTACATTTCCCTGGCAGTGCAGGGGGCTCGAGAGGCAGGAACTCAGCTCTCTCATGGGCTTCATTTCGACTAGGTGGTCCCCATCTAACCAGGCAAATTCACTTTCTTTCCAAACTCTGCACCTGCTGGTGACCCCGTGCGGAGTGCATTCACTGTGCCTTTGGAAGGGAGATGATTGCACCGCAGAGCCGAAGGCAGGGGTCCCGTGCAGCATGCTGGCTGTACCCCAGCATCCTGCGGTGGGCTTGGCCACCCCACCATCACAAGAGTCTCATAAACGTGTGGAGCCTTGGCCGAGGCAGACAAGGAGGGAGTTGTGGGCCAACAGCACTTGCATTTGTTTCCAGGACCCCTGGGCCGGGATCTGGAAGATGCAGGGGCTGGTAGGACAGGGCCCTTGGAGTGTAAGAAGGAAAGAGCCACCTCCCAGAGCCCAGGGTTCAAGACCCTGTGGACAGCGAGGGTTAAAAGGCATTCGAATGTAAATCGAATGTTAAAAAGTTCTTTGCCCTTTAACCTTTGTTTTATTCATTCACCTGATATCTTTGGTTGATTCCTGTTTACTGGGGCCTGAGGTGAGTACCATTGTCACTCATGAAAACCATCCAGTGTCTTCTAGAGAGCCTTTTCCCAAACAGTGTAGAATTTCTAATGACATTTTCTGTCTAATTTTCTAATGAAAATTTCTAACAAGAGTGTGTTTGTGGTTCCTTATGCTATTATAGCAACTGAAAACTCGCCCCCTCACCACCCCTGTTTGCTTCTCTTAATGTCTCTTCAAAGGTTGCAGACTGGTGGCCTGAGGGCCACTAGTTTTTGTGTGGCCCGCACAATATCTTAGACATTTTGGAATTAGTTGCTAATGTTTAGAAACGGGAAGATTTCACCTGAAAATTTGGATTTTGGCTTCTCTACAGAAATCTGTCAACGTGGCAACGTGGCAACATGGCCTGCGTCCTCACATGGCCACTGTGACTGAGGCCGAGGGGGCTGGCGCCTCTTCCCAGGCCATGGTTCTCCAGCTCTCCAGGCTCCTCACAGCCACTTGGCACTTTAACCTACCCACCTGACCCAGGCAGGAAATTTGGTTTCTGCCTCTGCTTTATGGAAGGAGGAGAGGTTTGTCCTTTGGGAAGCAAAACTTGTCGGAATCTGGTCCTTACAGAAATGCAACCATCCCCCGCCCTCCAACCCCACCCTACCCCAGCAGTCAGAATACAAATTCCTCCAAACCCTTGAAGTACATAAAAGCGAAATTTCTCAGGTTCCAGTTTGCTGGCTGTGCTAAAATGCAGCATCTGGATAACACTGATTTCCAAGATCAAAAACACCTCCTTCCTATTTACTCCCTGATCAAAACATCTGACCAAAGCAATAGTACCCAGGCCAACAATCCAGTTGCTCCAAAAAATAAACACGTGAATGTAACAAAGCTTATTTGGGGGCTGCCAGGATGAATTTTACATTGGAGGAGAGATTTCACTTCAAGGCTCTTGCAGAAGAAATATGCCATTAGAACCTGGAGTCTTGTGATAGACATTAAGCGGTTGACTCCCTCTGACTCACCACTTAATGTGTCTCAACCTCTCTGGCCCTCGGTCTCCTTCTCTCTGAAACGGGAATTATTAACATCGACCCTGCTAGTTCTCAGAGCTTCCAAGGTACCAGTCTGTGTGACTAAACACTTAGATAGCTACGCCCGCCTGGGGTCCCTCACCCAGTGTCCACAGTGTTGCAAGGCACAGTGCCCGGGATTAACCTGTTCTGTCTGATCTAATTTCCTCTTCTCAGTTGGGCTGCCCACCCTTTTATAGAACCATGTCGAGAAATATTGTCTTCTACCCCAGCAGGTCCAGACACAGCTTAAGAAAGGCTACCAGTGTGTCCCAAAGCCCAGGGGAATGTAGGCGAGCTCTCAACATTTTAGGTTCTGATCAATAAGAAAACATTTGTGAATGTTCTGTGTCAGAATTGTCTAAAGACTTGGTGGTTCCTTTGTACCTGAGAGGTCACAGAGTGCCGAGGTCTTGGAGGGGGAAACTACCTAACACAGTGACAGGCAGAATAACATTGTCTGGACTCGAGATGTGCAGGAGTGGGTTGGAATAAAGCTGTCATTATAGTCCAGGAACTGACAGGATCCTAGTGGTCACACCCTAAATGTCGCCTGGACTATTGAAGGGCGATCCCGCAGTCACTGGTGTCCCTGGGCAGGAAGCAGAGGTGAGGAGTGGACAGTTTGGGCCTGGCCTGCGTGCACCTGACAGGGTCCGGGGGGGTACCTGGTGTCATTTCCTCTTTGCAGTGTAACCCTGCACCTGGTGCCACCAGTCCCCTCCGGCCAGGGACATTATCCCTGTGTTACAAAAGAGGGAGTAGAGACTCAGAGGTTAAGGGACTTGCCCACACCCCTCTGGCAGAATCCAAGCTCCTGAACCCCAATTCAGAGCTCAGTACACATGTGGACACAGACCAAGAAGGGCTCCGGAGGCCCCTGGTAGTGCCTCTGAGCCACAGGGTGCCCTGCGGATCCTGAGGGTGCCGTGCAGATGGTTGTTGATGGCAGGGCCTGGCTTTCTCCAGTCTAACCACTCTGATTTTGAGGACCAGGAGGACATTTTTGTTTTCTTACCTCCTATGAACTTCCCAGTACTGGGAGCAGCGAAACACCAAAGGCTGGATGTGAACAGTACCTGAGAAGCTCAGTGCTGTGCTGCCCGAGATCCAGCTTGGTTCCTGAGCCTTCCCTCCTTCATTGTTCACGGGCCTTCCTGGGCTGAGGACACTGTCTGATAAACCATACACGCGGCGCACCGGGCGTGCCGTCCAGATGAGACAGGGCCTTCTGCTGGTCTTCCTCTTTTCACTAACTAGGCCATGGTGAATACACCTTCCAGCTTTCAGAAAAGTAAGGCATTGGGAGGCCACAGTGCCTGCTTTTTGCCACAGTCAGCTTGATGGGTTATCCCTGGCGGTAAGAACAAGAAAGATCAACAGAATGTGAAGATCTCGGCCTCTGTCCAGGGCTAACATCCATTGGCATCTGATTGGTGTGCACTGAGCTGTTGGGGACAGCACTCAGCGTGGGTGGAAGCCAGCTACCCCTCCCTAGCTGGCACCAGCTCTGGCCAGAGCCAGGGCCCAGGCCAGGCTTGTTCTACCAAGCAGAGAGCGACTGGGTGCTGAACTGGAAGTCCATGTGTGTGCATGGTTATACTGGGAGCAAGTGCTGGTGGGGGAGGTGGGCTGCACAGACTCAACTGAGAGACCCCACCCCCACCCCAGCACTCCACCTCACCGCCACTCCCTTCCGCCTCTGCCATCACTGGGGTGGGCTGGTATGCACACTCCGGTACAATTACAGAAATCTGCCCATTGCTTTGCCCTGTGCCTTCTCTGGAGAGGTGGAAAGAATACAGTTTCCTGTGGGGGTCCCTGTCCTCGCTCCCTTGGGTCACCAGACCAGTGTAAGTGGATTCCATGCGATAGGTCTTCCCCTGACAATTCCGCCTGTTCAGACTGGATTTGCTTTACAATTTGCGTGTTGTCTTTGCGGTCCAGCTTTCAGATGGTGCCCTTCTTGCACACTTGGGGTCAGGGCACTTTTATACCCGTCACCATGAATCTCCTATAAGCAGTCTCCAGACCTCCCACTTGCCAGGCTTTGAAGGCAGCAAGCAAGTTGCCCAGAAGGAAACTGGATAGAAGTCTGAACACCGTCAAAGTATCAGTGAATCTGGAAGCTTTGACATCTTCCATCCAAGCAATCCGTCACTTGGCCCCAAGGTGTTGTTGAGAAAGATAAGCCTGTCTCCAGGGAGATGATGGATGGGCCAGTCCAAAGACGTGCCACAGGTGCTGTCCTGCCCTCCCTGAAGCGGGAAGGACCAGTGGCCCCTCGGGAAGGGGCTGGCACCCGTCCCTTCCCGTAGCTGGGTGAGGGTGCCTGAGAATAGTGCGTCAAGTTTTGGTGAGGCAGGGCGGGCCTGGGGGGAATTTGGAATTGCCTCTCCCTCCCCCAGCCCTAGCAAATGGCCAAACCCTAAGAGAGTCCATATGAGGGACAAACTTCACATTTCCATCCCTGCCCAGGGCATTATTACTGCTCTGCTATGTTTGAAACATGACCTGCAGCTGCCTGTCTTCCCAGGATATTAGCTGTTCCCAGGTTTGTGCAAATCCTTGTTTTTGTCCACTAATGCTGAGTCCACGTATTCAGCCCGGGAGAAGGGAGAGGTCATTTAAAATGGGGGAGGAAGAAATTGAACTTCTTTCTGGAATAGCATGACTTTTGATCAGAAGTTGAGATGCTTTAGTTTCAAGCCCAGAGGCATTAATCACCACTGAGTGATGGGGTGTTTCTAATTAGAAACAAATTATTCTGGAGGGATTTTAATAGATGGTGTTCTTAAAGAAAACTGTTGGCTCTCAGTGTTAAGAGCATAGCCTTCTCTTTTACTAAAAAGATCAAAGTGGTCTTTGACTCCCTGGTGCCAGTGGACATCCCGCAGAAGGGAGCTGGTCTGACTTACAAGGCGTCAGTCACCCCCAGGTATGCCCCTCCACACCCAAGCCCCTGTCCTCTTTCCCTCTGTAATGTGGAGACAACAGCACCTCCCAGAGGCCTTAGGAGATCAGATGAAGCAATAAGCATGCAAACACCTGTGAGCCACAGACCTAGGAGGGCGTCAGGGAGAGCCTCTCACTCGAACATTGCTGCAGTGGGGTATCCCCCAGACGGCTGTTAGAGGTCTTCCTGTGTTCTGGGCAGGGGGATGAGGGCTCAGGTTCTGTGGCCTTAGCAATGAACAGACCTTATGTCATGAGACGGGTTAGTTAGTTATAGAAAGCTTTTCAGACCCAGCACCACTTCCCAAGCCTGTACTTTCTTTGATGGGAACTGATCCCCCAACCCTGCAAGGCCGGCCAGCCTGCCTGCCCAGCTGGGGCCCCCGCTTGCTGTGGGCTTGTGGTAAAGTCAGTGTGATTCAACCAACGCTTCCTGAGCTCCTGTGCTGTGCCAGACCTGTGCTGGGCACTAGGGGTACAAAAGTGGGCAATGACGCAGCCTAGATATGGACAGGGCAGCAACCATAGTAGGCCACACCAAGTCCCACTGGTCGGGTGTGAACACAGTGCTGTAGGACCCAGGCAGCCCCTGCCTTGGGAAGCCACAGATGGGGGTGCTGGCGGCAGGTGATGCTACTTCTGTTGGGACAGTCACAATGGCCCCTGGCATTCACCAATGCTTTAGCATTTACAAAGCACTTTCACTCATATTATCTCATTTGATTCTCACAGCCACCTATCCCCATTTTACAGATGAGGAAACTGAGGCTCAGAGTGGTGATGTGGCTGTTTTTCCAAGCTCACACAACTAGAAAATGGCAGGGCTTGGAGTCTAGTCCCTGCCTTCTGGCTCCCAATCCACTTTTCTTTCAAGTGCACCATAACATCAGAGGCTTAGTTTTCTAATTTGAAACAGGAAGAAGTTGAACTATAAGATGCCTTCAGTCCTAACCATCATGGGCCTGTGCTTGTTATAAAATCAAGCGTGTACCCACTCGCTCTCCAGCCTGCCTACTCTCCCCCATCACCTGTCAAAACCTGCTTCCCTAGGGCTTTGTATCAATCATTTACACTTTAGTGTAAATCTGTTGTCTCTGTGGGAGATCTTGAATGTTAAGTCTTCCCTTATTTGTGAAATAAAAAGTGGAGTCCTTAATAAAAGAAACTTGAGCATCAAAGAGCAAACATGGGAGGCACTGGGGACAGCAGGGCTCTTTTCTGAGATGTGTGAAACATAGCATGCAGGCAGCCAGCATTCTGCATGAAGATAGTTATAAGCAAATCCTCCATTTGATGATGTTACTCTTGCTAGTGTGAGCAGCCAGTGAAAGGAGGGTCATCCAAACTCAGTCTCTGGGCAGGGGCAGGAGGGAGAGGGGGCAGATACTCCCTTGTGTGGAGCACTTCGTGTGGGTGACGAGAGCCTGTGACTGGGTCAGAGGATTACAAAGAGAAGTCCAGGACCCGTACCTGCTCAGTTTAGAGAAATGAGTTTGCTGTAGAGCCGTGGAGTCCCTGGAAATTGGCAGGAGAGGCATCTGTGTGGACGTGAGCTGAACAGCCGAAAGGCCACTGCCTTTGCCCCTCTGCTCCCCTGCTGCCCCTCCATTCGCCCCGTGTTCTTCATCAAAACAGCTGCCTTTGCGTGGAGTGAGAGATGAGAGAGTGGGGATGCTGGAGCATCCGGGCCTCCCCTCACCCTACTCCAGGTTCTAACCACTGGACCTGACCATTGAATCAGAGAAACCGTCATCTCTAAGGAACACTTTTGTTTCATCACATGCCATGTCAGTGACCTCAGAGCAGGGCCCGTGGTCAGGACGACACAGGTCCATGTCCCTGCTCTGCTGTGGCCTCGTCTCACCTTGAACCAGCATCATCCTCTGTCAGATGGGTCTAAGGGTACCTGCCTCATAGGGCTGACTGCAGCAAGAATGACATCCACATAAAGCACTTAGCCCCAGGCCTGGCACATGGGAAATGCCCAGTAGGTGCACTTATCAGTTCACTGTCATCAACCATCACAGCCATAGGTCTCTGATCTCTCAGCGAAATCTCATTTCTTAAATGGGTCTGTAAAAGATTTATGTCTTAGAAGAACAGTTCTTTGAACATGGTCCAGGCCCGTGCGTGCCCTGCCCTGGAACCCATGCATGGTGACAGCATGGCTCAGGGGCAGGAGACATTTCTGCAGCATTTGCTGGGCACCTAGGCCATGCTGCTCTGGGAGGGTGGGGGGTCTTTGAAACAGTTGCTGATGGGAGAGCTGAGTTACCAAACTGATAACAGCTTCTGCCCGAGGAGAGGCAGTGAGGGCGGCCCCAGCAGGCTCCTCTGTGCTCCAGGCTCCAGTCTCGCCAGCCAGAATCAAGAGTTCCTGGGATAGCCAGCCCCTGCAGGTCATCAGGGGTCAGCTCGGCCTTCTGCTTCCCTAGCTATAATGTCCCAACCAGAATCTGTAGTTCAGCAGGCTGCAAATTCAGAGAGATAGGGGGAAACCCAAAGCTAACGCTGAAGGCAGGAGGAAAAAGCAGATTGAAAGAGAGTATGAGTTGAAGGGGGGGGGGGGTGTGTGTGTGTGTCTGTCTATCTGTCTGTCTGTCTGTGTGTGTGTGTGTGTGTGTGTGTGTGTCTAAAAAGGCTTTTCCAATTTCAAGGCTGGAGCAAAGACAGTGGGGATTTTCATTATTGTTTAAACCTGCTATTTCAGGTTTCAACAGCTTCCGAGGTTTGCATTGCTCATGCCAAGTCTGGGGGGAAATCTGTCAAAAATGCTTTTGAAGAGCTTTTGACATTTCACCAGCCAAGTGCCTTTCAGACACAAAGAGAAAATGGAGTTGCTCTCAGGGTATTTTCTCCCCCTGCCCTGCTCTCTCATTTGCTATCCGGACCTGCCCCAGGCAGGCTGACCCCTCAGAGAATGGCTCGGTGAGGACGTGGGGCGGTCACCCTGTGTGCAAAGGGTTCATCCTCACATCGTCTCACACTAACCCCGTCTCCTGCTCCCAGAGCCTGTGGAGGGAGCCCCTGCCTGTGCCCCAGTCTGGAGGAACCAGAGCTCATGCGTGTATTAAACATTCCTACAGCGTTTTCCTCTTCCTGAGATTTTTACAACCTCCTTTAGCTAATTCTCAAAACATCCCTTTGGGATCTGGTGTTATTTATAGCCATGATTTTGCAGCTGGGAGAAGCAGGGGAAGGGAGTCCTCGTCGTGGTGGAGCCTGTCATCAGGGTCGGGCCTCTGTGTGGTGACAGAGACCTGGTTCCTCCCTGCTGGGGGATGGTGTGGCCATGGAGGAGTGTGGGCCTCAGGGCGGGCAGGCCAGGCAGAGAGGCCGGGGCTGTGTCACTTGGGAAGAGTTACGTGGATGCTCTGAGCCTCACATTCTGCCTCTCTGAAAGGCGTGGCTGTGCCCTGCAGACGCCATGCATGCCTTTGGCTCACCTACTGTGTTCCAAGCACTGCCCTGGCTGTTAGCATCAGGATTAACGAGGACTAATGAGGAGACACGAGCCCAGCCTCCAGGCCATGGTGGGCATGCGGAAGTTGGGCACTGCTGCTGTTATCATTATTTTATTGTTATTAATCCAAAGAAGTCAAGCCAGCAATGCTTGCCCCATGTCTTGCTGTCCCCTGGGTCTGAGGAACAGAGGTCTCCCCACTTTTGCAGGAAACTGTCTACCTAGAGGGATCTCTCTTTTTCACAGTCACTTCACAGTTTGCGTCACAAGCCTGTGAGTAAACCCAAATCAAATATTTCTCTCTCTCCTTTGTTGCCATGAACGTTTTGCTCTCTGTGCACTGAAAATTTTTATTTCGTTATTGCTTTTCCAGGAAACTTCCACCCCAAGTGTCTTAGACTCCCCCTCCAAGTGGGAAGGCCCGTGGGGTGGTGGCTGATCACCAGGCCCTATTAGTGACGCTCAGCTGCAGGCACTTGCTGGGAGGGGGCATGAGGGGCTGCCCTTACTTAAGCTCGTCTGGCAGGGAGCTTTTCTGGTGGATTTATTGCTGCTCACTTTGTCTCCATTTCCCGAGGCTCCAGGAGCCACATTAAATCTTAATGTAATGAGCGACTTGAAAAAAATACCCAGCAGTGAAAGAGTGCTTCAAACAAGACCAGTTATGTTTTGTATAGATCTGTTTGCTTGGATTTTAAAAGCCTGAGAAATGGCTTCGCAGCGATGCTTGGGGCTAATTCGATGCTATCAGGATTCACTGTGGTCTCCTGGCTGTTTGTTTAAAGCGGAGGCTGAGGGGAGGGATGGAATTGGTTGTCTGTGCCCCTGTTGTCCTTCATGTGGGAGCTCAGGTTACAGGGGATGCCGTTCAAAAGCACCCTTCAGACCTGTCTGGAATTTCGTTTGTCTTCAGGGCCAAATCAGCCTCTAATTGTGCTCCAGAGGTTGTCTGGCTGAGCTGCCAGATGATTGCCGGGAGCCAGGCCAAGGTGGACGTCCACACCTGCCTGTGGAGGCCTGGCGTCGGGGCATGGCGGCCCGGGGAGAGCTAAGCACGTAGGCCAGGTGACTCAGCACCGTCCCAGGCTCCAGGGACTCCCTGGTCAGCTCTCTCTGCTCCTGGCCCTGGCATGCTGTTGTTAATAATAATAGCAGTGCTCATTGAGGGCCCAATCCTTCCCAGACTCCCTGCTAGGCACCTGCTCCAAGCTGTCTCTAATCATGGAAATCATTCTGCAAGGAAGGTTTTATTATCCCCAAGCCACAAATAAAGAAACTGAGGCTCAGATAGGTTAAGTAACTTACCTGAGGTCACATAGCTAGTAAGTGGGGCATGCAGCATGCTGATAGGCCCATCCTGCCTGCACCGCTGGGTCCCTGGTGAAACTCTGGTCAAGCAGGGTGCAGTTATGTGTGGATTTTAGGCCAGGAGCATGCTAGGCACCACCTCAACTCAAATGAAAATGCAGCAGGCGTGGAAGGTGGCAGCCACACCAAAGGGTCATTGGCAGAATTCTCCACTTTTATCTTTAATTAAGTAGGTAATTCTATTTTATTATAGAAAGAGAAAAATTAGTCCCACACACCAGATGATAGCACGGTAAATGGTTTTAATGGTTGATCTTCCGAACTCTTATACAGTCCACACACACAGGCATTGAACACAAATGGGATGGTTTCTCTACATGCCGCTCGGTCTTCTCACCTAACACACTGAGAGGCAGCCTCTGTGGGGCTGGCTCAGACACAGTTCCCACATGGATAAGCAAACACCCCAGTGTTCTCCAGAGTTCTTCCAAGTGAGCACAAGCCATTCATAGCCCAGAGCTGCGAGAACAGCAGCCCCTAGGGCTCCAGCTAAAATTTAACAAAACCTAAACTGAGTCAGATCTCTCTGAGGGCCAGAGTCTGCATGGTCTCAAAGTGTCCCCAAGGTGGCTGAGGGTCAGTCCCCAGCCTCTTGCCTGGCCCAGCCCTGTCTCTTGGAGGTGCCGGAGAGTCGTGAGAACAAACACGAGTCTGTGGGAGAAGTTTGGAGTTACCCTCATGGAGGATCTCACGGAGCAGGTCTTGTCCAGAATGGAGAGTTAAAAACCAGTGACCCAAGCTAGGAAAGATAAGGAAGAAATGGTGGAGCTGGGAGAGGACCTGGTTTTTTGATTCCTGGCCCCCCATAGAAGCTCCCTCCAGTACAACCTCTAATTCATATGGGAAGGTGGATCAGTAGGTGGGAGGGGGCTGCTGGGGATCCTGTCCCTCCTCTGCCACTCACTGACTCTGTGACCCTAGGTAAGGTACTGACTGCCCCCAAGCTCAGTGGCCAACATCCGCCTCTTAGGATTGTTGGGGAATGGTCCACGCTGTTGTGGAACCTCATGAGTGAGCCTACGGGACAAGCGAACATGCCTCCTGCACATGGCTTGGGGTGTCATGAATGCTGTCCTTTCCCCCCACCCACCTGGGCCCCAGAGCATGTCAAGCAAGACTAAGAACTTTCAGAGGGGAGATTAGTCCTCAAGGTCACCCCGAATGCCTGAGGTTTACAATGGTCATTGATCACTTCCGAGCAGAGACCTTGTCAATTTTGCACTTGGTTTTAATAGACCCCCCCCCCCCCCCCCCCAGGATTGAGCCCTTTCCCTGACTTCACATACGTAATAACAACACCTGCAAAAGACGTTGGAATGCTTCCTGGCATTCCTGGCCAGGAAGTGACTCAGCCAGGCTCACTGCCCCGCCCGCGTGGCCTGGGTACCTTGCGGTCAAGGGATGCCATGAGAGCAAGACGGCCATAGTCACGGTGCCTTCTCTGTTAACCTGTGCAGTTTTGGGGGGACCCAGAAACCCCACAACTGCCTGCCCCACCCTGGAGGCCCCCCATCTCCAAGAAGGACTATGAGCATACCTCACTCTCCCTGCTGGACGTGTCTCCTGTAGCAGGTGGTGCCAGAGCCAAGGGTCCAAGTCAAGATCTGAAGAGAAAAGGCTACTGGTGTTGCCTGTACATCAGCACCAGGTCCGTCTCTTCCCCGGTGGGCCTCGTTAATGCAAACAGTCATGGAAATAAGGCCCTGAGTGCGCAGTAAGCCCATTTTCCCAAGGAGCAGGGATTTTTTTTTAATTTTATGACCAATTTAGATATAAAAGTCTTTCATGGTGTAGGTGGACGAGTCAGATGCCTACTTAAAATATGTAACTTATTCATGTAGTTATTCATTCATATTTAAAGTTATCCATTATGTTTTTCTTAAAAGATTGGCACCTGAGCTAACAACTGTTGCCAATCTTTTTTTTTTTTTCCTCCCCTTCTTCTTCTCCACAAAGCCCCCCAGTACATAGTTGTATATTCTAGCTGTAGATCCTTCTAGTTATGCTATGTGGGACGCGGCCTCAGCATGGCCTGAGGAGTCATGCCTTGTCCACGCCCAGGATCTGAACCAGTGAAACCTTGGGCTACCGAAGTGGAGCACGTGATCTTAACCATTAGGCCACAGGGCCAGCCCTCCATGATGTTTTAATTTAGAAATGTTGCTATTTTCTCTCTCTAGCATATTTTAAAGTTGAACTTGATGAAACTACTGCTTCTGGAGGGTCAAAAATAGTTGAATATAAGCAATTTTGTGAGGCGCAACCTAATATCTGCAATGTCTGTCTTCATCATCACTCGCTCCGCTCTCTGAGTCACCTGTTCCGTTTGCCAGAGCGCCTGGACTCCGCCGTCTGGGTTCACTGAGATGCCACCTTTTTTGACTCTTTCTGTGCCGCTCATTGGACATCCTCCTGAGCCGTGGCCTACCTTTGCTCCGCGCTGGCCTGACTCTGCATTGGAATGACTGCTCTGCATCCACAGGACTTTGCCCTGCCTGGCCGTCTGGGCTTTTCCTTCATTCACGCTGTTGGGGTGGACTCCCAGGCTCCTGGGATAACCACTTACCAGGTTACTTTTTAAGTGATCTTTAAACATTTCTCACACCATCCTCGCTCGTTTGTGATTTTGAAGTCCTGCCTCCAGGAGAAGAGAGTTAAATTTCTCTGCCTCTTTGTTTTTAAACCCTGGGTGATCTTGCTACAAAATAATTGAGGGCACCCCTTACCCTGACCTGAACTGTGAGAAGTTTTTTATTCCTTAAAGATAAGGCAACTCAGTCTTTTCCAAGAATAATTTTGCATGAAAGCCTTCCCCCCCTTATATTCAAGCACACTGTCACCTGTGAGTAAACTCTGCAGTCAGCGGGGCGCTAGATGTCGTTCTTGCTAATTACACATATTTGCACATAAGTACCCACCCACTTCATCGTAAGAAAGCTCTTCACACTCCACACAGGACCCTGGGAAGCCGTTCAGGGTAAGTCAGGTTCTCAGCTCCGGCTGCCCATGCAGTCACCTGGAGAGCTTTAAAAACACTGGTGCCCCGTGCCCCCTGCAGAGGCACTGGTTGACTGCTCTGGGACAGAAGGATTTTAAAAAGCTCGCCAGGTAATTCCATGCAGCAGATCCCAACCAGCAGCCAAATCCCTTCAAGATGCCCTCCAGGCAGAAATCACGTTGCTGTGGCACCTGTCCCATGTTCAAGGCCTCCCGTTGGTGGGAACCTCCTCATGTGACCTCATCCCTCCACTTCAGCACCCCTCAGACTTCTGTGTGCTTCCATGCCAACTCCTGAGGCCTGGAGTAGAGCCCAGAAATATGCATTTGTAATGCACAATGAATTCTCAAGGCTGCAAGCAGCTCTTGATGGGTTTTTCCAGAAGATGGGATGTGGAGCAAGGCACAAAGCTGAGGCCCTGGGGCCAGGCTTGCCTACTGGAGAAAGAGCCCATTCTGGGGTGGGAGTGCCAGAGTCCACAGTGGGACCACTTGTGGTTTTCCCACCTCTTTTGTGATAGGCCCAAGGGGGAGGAGATGGGGAGGCATATGATCCAGATGGCACCTGGCATCCTCGCCATGTGTGGCGTTCAGAGGAAGACCCCACTCCCATCTCTCCACCTCGAGGTGCTGGTATTAACTCCAGCTGGGCTACTGCACCTGTGGCCTTTGCTTTATTAAAGTTTTGCAGAGTACTCTCAGAACCCTGTAAATCACGGGATGTGTGGGTGCTGGGGGACGCTAGATGGAGAGAGTACAAATGTGGACCTAGCTCTCTGGCTGGGAAGAGACCAACTTAACGGAGAGACAATTCCAGGGGCTCCCGGGAGAGTGAGTAAGGGCTAAGATGCTCAGAGCGCAGGATCAGGGTGGAGGAGCTGGATACCTGGCAGGCTCCCTGTGAAACACTTTTAAAAGTGTGCGAAGAGGAACAGGAAGAGAAACAGGAGAACAGAATCGCATGGGAAAATCTTGCCAAGTCCACTCATTGGGTTGGGATGGTCTGTTGAACTACATTGGCCTGGTTTTAGCAAACCGAGGTCTGCAAGTGCTAGAGATGCCAGCAACTAGGGATTTGGTGTCTAAATTAAAACTGTTAGCCACAATATTAGTCCATGACTCTCTTATGCAAGAAAGGTTGAACTTCTTCATTTTCTCTAACGTTACTTAATTCTGATCTCCAACCCTCAGGCTCGTGGGGAATCCAACGCCAGTCGTTACTGGGCTCCTCTCCACACCCAGGGCTGGGCAAAGGCCCTGGAGCTTCATGCCACACACAGTGCTGGGGAGAGCCCCATGGTCATCAGGTCCAGTCCCTCCTGGGTACCAACGAATTTCACAAAGCCCAGCTCTCTGCTTGGAACGGGGGTGAGAGGGGTGGGAGGTGAAATTCAACCAGCATAAATGAGTATTTCAGCAGTTGTCTTGTGGCTCAGTCAGCTCAAGCTGCTGTAACAAAATACTGCTGACTGGGAGGCTGCAATAACAGACATTTATTTCTCACAGTTCTGCGGAGGCTGAGAAGTCCAAGATCAAGGTGCTGGCCAATTGGTTCTTGGTGAAGGACCACTTCCTGGCTTGTAGACAGCTGCCTTCTCATTGTGTCCTCACGTGATGAAAAGGGAGAGCTCTGTTCTCTCTTCCTCTTCTTATAAGGACACTAATCTTGTCATGGAGGCCCCAGGCTCATGACCTCGTTTAAACCTGATCACCTCCCAAAGGACCCACCTCCGAATACCATCCCAGTGGGGGTTAGGGCTTCACCAGGTAAATGTCAAGGGCACACAAACATGCCGTTCATAATATCTTGAAACAGTCTTCCATCAGGCAGCTGGTAGGCAGCCAGCCCTCTTGTCCTACAATTATTTCAAGCACCTGAGAATGACATGCAGGGGCCAGGCCAAGGGCTGACTGTGTTGTGAAGCCATCACCACAGGTCCCCAGCCCGGCTCAGGCCCCCAGCTCAGGCTGTTCCTGTCTCTGGCAGTGCTCATCGACCTGTGGGAAGGGCCTGCAGTCTCGTGTGGTACAGTGCATGCACAAGGTCACTGGGCGCCATGGCAACGAGTGCCCTGCCCTCTCGAAGCCAGCAGCCTACAGACAGTGCCACCAAGAAGTCTGCAATGACAAGATCAACGTGAACACCATCACCTCCCCTCGCCTTGGTGAGTGCCTCTGCTGGCCCCCAGCTTCTGGGGGATGCTGCCTCCCCCGGCCAGCGAGTCCCCACTGGCAGTGGGAGTCCTATACACCAGAAAGCCCCCTCCTCAGGCCTTATTTGAGGTCTGGAGAGGCTGACATTTGTCAGTTCTGTAGAAGATCAGAGGTTTCAGAGATGGGATTCCATTCCTTGTCATGAAAAAGACGTTTGCTAACTAGAGTCTCAGACATTTGAGCGTCCCACTAGGCCCTCTGCCTGCAAATGGGGAGCAGGGGAGAATGTTCCTCAAACGTTTTAGGACTCCCATGCATGAAGGGGGCAAAGGGAGGTGCTTCCTTCTGGAAATGAAGGATGAAAGCTTGGTGCTGTATGCATGGGACGTTCTTAAGCTAACGCTGGAGAAGAAGGCAGAGGTTTTTATAGGCTGGAGTCTTTCCTTCGGCAGAGAGCTTTCGTGTGAGCACTTTAGCCGTGAGCGCTCCAAACCTGGCCCTTTACCAGGCCATGGTCTAGGCCGGCAGTGGCACAAGAAGAAGAACGTTTAACACTCATCGGATAATTCCTTTGATCAGAGTTTCTGCTTTTCCAAATAGAAATCCCTAGGGAATCTTTTCCCACCCAAAGCCCCTTTCCCCAATGCTAGAATGCCACCAGAATGAAGGGGTTTCTAAGTTGCTTCCTTGGGGGTCTTTGAGCTTGCAGAGGTGTACCCCAGGCTTTTGCATGCACGAGCCTGCTTGGTATCCTCCAGAGACCTCCCTCAGGCAGCATCTGCTGTCCCCACAACCAAGACCCTGAAGGAGATTTGGGCCACTTGCTTGTGCCATGACCTTGTGCTTTTGTGGACCCTTTCATGCCCACTGCCCTATGCCGTTCTGTTTTATAAATGCCAGCAGTGATGATGTCTGCCGTCATTAAATAATGGTAAGTGCCACTTAGCTCAGAAGCAGGTTGGGCAGCACCCTTACCCTGAGGAGGCAGGCAGACTACTACACTCTGCCAAGTGGTCAGGTTGGACATGAGTGTGTCCGCTATAGGAGAAAGCAGCCTCCAGAGTGGCCTTGGCAGGGTGTATAATGTCCTCAATCTGTGCAAGGCTCCAGTGTACACATGGGTAAAGGCAGCCCCAGAATGTGTCTTATCACAAGCCATTTCCGTGCATGCATCATGATGCCCACATGCCATCCATAACCCCTGGGCTTTCTCTCTCCACTGTCCCCTTAGCTGCTCTGACCTACAAATGCACACGGGACCAGTGGACAGTATATTGCCGGGTCATCCGGGAAAAGAACCTCTGCCAGGACATGCGGTGGTACCAGCGCTGCTGCCAGACGTGCAGGGACTTCTATGCAAACAAGATGCGCCAGCCGCTGCCACCACCGCCAAGCTCATGACACACGGCCCAGCGGTCCCGCAATGCTCTGACACGAGGTCTGAGTCCTGACGACATGGCTAGTTGAAAGCCCACCCACCCGAGAGCACACCAGTCCTGCGGCCGGGACCCCACAGCACGCCGCCGCTCACCCACAGGCTGTTCTGAGAATCCAATCGCTAGAACTTGAGAGTGGACTTGGCATTTGCCGTTAGTGCTTTTATACTTAATATATTATTAACAGCCACTGGATGGCTTTCTACAGTATGGAAAAGATAGGCATGAGTCACAAAGTATTTGTAATTTCTAAGGTTCCATGTACCTCAAAGGGAACACCTCTGACAGACA